TAATTCTTCCTCTATGACAAAAATATTTAATTTTCTTAGTAAAAATAAAATACCCAAGGATTTGAATGGAATACCCAAGAACCCAAGACCAAGTCAAAATACCCAAGATCTTGGGTAAATACCCAAGCAGTGGTCACGCTGGGACCTTCTAAACATGAAAAAAATACTCTTCACCCATATGTCAAAGTTCATAGGTCAAAGGTTCAAAATGTTACTAATGGCAAACGATTAAACCGAATTCAATTAAATTTGATCATTAAGAACCAGTGACACCTCCTACACCCGTCTGGCATCAGTGGTTACATAGGGGTTATCGGGGGTCAATTTTTTAAAATAGCCCAATTGAGCTCGAATTTACCAGGAATGATCCTTAGGACCTTCTAAACATGAAAAACTACTCTTCACCTATAGGTAAAAAATCACAAAGGTCACTATAGTGAAAAATTATCAAATAATGCTAGTGACTAACGATTGGACCAATTGCATTAGACAGACTCCTACCAAACATGGGGTGTTCAAAGGTTGAGGTTAAAGGTTACAGTGGCTATCTCTTAAAAAATGACTGTGTTCATGTTCTATTGAACATAGTATATCTAGTTATTATTATTATTATTATTATTATTATTATTATTAATATTATTATTATTATAAAGAAATGGAGAAAAAAAGAAAATTATATTCAAATTTAAAGCTATGCTCCAGAGGAAAATTATTTTTGTAGTGTTGTAGAACTGATTTTTCTAAGACACAAAAAACATATTTGACAAAACACTCGGAAGCGGCTGATAAGATACAGATTTTTGATTATTTAAAAAGCTTTTACATATTAAAAAAATTGTATCTCACTAACCGCTTTCGATTTTTTCGTCGAATATGCTTTTTTGTGTCTTAGAAAAATTAGTTCTACAGCATATATAAAAACAAAGAAATTTCCTCCTAAGGCGCCTGACATATACCCTATACGGATTTTAATTACATTTTGATATACATATTTAATTAATTTTTTCTGGTCGTCACATATTAATTTTTTGCAAAAATAACAGGAGCTACTTAAGGGTCTATATGGCAGGATTGCCTAATTGAAGAATGCTTGCCATCGAGGGGCTCTCTCGGTCTATCGGCGACAATTAAAGAACTGCATAAAATAGTAATTGGATATTAAGTGGTGAAATCATAAAAATTAATCTATAAATATAGTTACATGAAATTCAACTGCTAAGAAGATTAAATGGAATTATCTATACAAGAGGCAGCTAACTGTATTATACAATATTATACACAGGAACGCACATCACGTTAGACACAGAACGCGCATCACGTTTGACACAAAATGGCTCTAAATTCTCAATGTCGCAACTCTTTGTATATATGGCTCTGGTCTTATGCGCCGGGCCCTCTCGCGGCAGTATGTGAACTGCCTATGTTCATCATAATAATTACATGTAATAAGGTAGGGTTGGGCTGTTTGCGATGCTAGTTTGCAAAGGACGGCCTTTTCTAAAAATTATATTTATTTATCAAATACGCAATTTTTATACGAGTATATAGAGTATATACTATTATATAGTATATACTATATATTTTCTTTTGCAGTGTTTTATGAAGACAATTATATAATCATATATAATAATTTAGGTGAAATATATTCTTATGTATATAAGCCTATGTTAGCATCAGTTGCCTGTTATGTCCTATTATCTAATAACATAACATTACATGATCTGATGTTGATTGAAATATATTTCATAATTGCTTGTTTATACAATGTAGGCCTATACATTTATCTATAACGAATTTT